AATATTTATTATTAAATAAAAATAAATCTTTAATATTAAGAGTTCTCTTTTATCAAATTATTATTATTTTATAATTCTATACAAACAACAAATAAAGTGCTCTTAAAAGCAAACTAAAAGGGAAAAAGGAAAGGAATATATACATAAAAAAAAAAAAAAAAAAAGCAAATTGGAAGAATCACATTGTTTTCTTAAAAGAAAACTGAAAGGGAAAAAGGAAAGGAATATGAAAACTAAAGTCACATATATATAAGAAAACAAAAAAAAGGTTTTTTTTCCCAAGTTTATATGAAAAAATATAAAAATTAATATTAATTTTAATCATTTTCACATTAACAAATTTAATTAAATAGTTAATAAATTAAAGTTAAATGATGGAAGAGGCCATGAAATGACAGATATGCCCCCAACAACAAATGAAATGTAGAAACAAAGTTTTGAGGACAAAAGTGAAAATCCAGTATCAAATGATGGAAAAACCATGACTTGAGAAATAGAATGAGGAAACTTGGAGGGCAAAAGTGAAAAATAAAAGTTACTTTAGTAATGTAAGAGGGGGGGTTCCACCCATTAACTTATTTGATATCCATGTCTTTCTTCCTACATAGGCAATGCTTGCACGTGATGTTATGCCTTATATAAATCATTTGATGAGAACAAATTTTGAAGTTCTTGTACTTTGAAGTCCTTCATTGAAATCTTTTTACTGGCAGAAATTAAGGTCTTAAAAGTACTCATTAGTCATAACTATATACAATCAATGTATTGTTACTTCTTCTTCTTCTTCTTTGTTAATGAGAACAATCCATATTATTGCTCACTAGATAGGAGTTAGATGGCCTTATGTCTTAAGCGGCTAATTAGCAATTTCTATTTTAAGTGAGAAATTATAAAATCGAGTTGTAAGCATATGTGTTGCTGGTGTGGTGTCCATAAATGAATGAGAGAGTTTCTAAGCTCAAGTGGCATGAGTTTCTAAGCTGAGTAATGTACATAAATAAATAGAAAAGAGTTGGGCGTCCATAGAAATTGGTTTTAACGCTCGAATGCATAAAAAAAGTGTTGTTTATGCTGTACGGTATAAAAAATATAAGATAAAAATGTAATAAGTATATATTGGTAATTAATACATATAAAACAATAATAATAATTAATTTAATTTAATTAATTTAATTTAATTAATTAATTAAAACTATTGAAGTAATAATAATAATAAAATAAAAATTAATTTTATTATTTTTTATAAATTAATTATAAAAAAATATATTTATTACACTGTATAATTTAAAAAAAACACGTAGAACAAACGAATCCATAAAAAAAATTTAAGAAAAAAATTACAGCCTTTTCTATTCATGATGCAGAACACATCGATGGCAACGATAAATTGGTAATTAACAGGAAACGGAAACACGATTAATCAAGAACTACGAAACCCACCGCCACAGCTGACAAATTAGTTGGTCCGCACTGACTTCGTTGGCATCGCTATTCAAACAGGTGTGCGGACCATCCGAAGTCACACCAGAAGCACAAAAACACTCTCTGTGCTTAAATTACACTAGGGCCGCTTTTCTTTACTTCATTTCTGGCTTCTCTTCTTGCTTCACGTTCCTCGTTCCTTTTCGCTACTCGCTTCTTCTCTGGAGCTCCGTTTCCGATGGCTGCAGTTGCCGGATCCAACGTCCTTGCTTTCAGATCCGTCGCGAAATTAGGAGATTCCTATGACAGAAAAATCGTTCAGGCTAGGCAATGGTCTCCTATTTCCAGCGCAGTAGGATCGGTTCACTCTTGGCCTCGGATTGGTCTTCAGTGCAGATTGAGGAGCTCGATTTCGTCCTCGGGTATTTTTTGCGCTTCGTTAGTTTGTGTTTCTATGCTGTTTATGTCTTTGTATAGTGCTTCTCTTGCTTTTGGAAGCTAATATTGACTTCGGTGGAAGAGACAGGAGTGCTTGGATAATTTGTGTTAATTGCTTTTGGATCTGTTGCGAGGTTGCCTTTGGTACAATCTGTAGAAATGAATGTGTTGTAAGGGTAATCTGCTCTAAGGCCGGTTTCCTGTATTCTAAATTTTCACTCACTGTTCAAAGTTTGCATCGTGCTTTTGTGCTTGAATAGTGGAATGCATCTTTTTCTTCTTACATATAGGGTGAAATTGCTAGATATTTTCCTTTTTTTCTAATGAGGATTTATGGCTCTTCAAAAAATAATGAAAATAGAAAAGTCATATAGGTTAGCTCTGGTTGACTGATAGTGATCTCAGTTAGTTGTAACATTTTCCTTGGAGAACCAAGATGCATACATTTTTTAGCATGGAACAATGGATAAATCCACTTGTTCTCTGCCTGATCTTTCCTAAAATGCTATAAAGAAAGTGGAAGGGTGAAGGAACTGCATGAATGGAATGGTAAATTGATTTAGCCACAAGAGACCAAAATTAGGAACTACTTATAGAAAGTGTTTGACAATGTTCATGTTGAGCAACATATTCATTTCTATATTTTGGTAGAAATTCTACACCACGTTCCTTGAGGTTGGACTTATGAATTAGTGCTGTAGCAAAATTCAAAAACACCTTGAGAGCATTTCTTTTAAAATATTTAGTAAAGCAATAAAAGTCAAGCTAAAATTGAAATGCACCTGAAATGGAAACAGGCAGACATTGATGGTGATAGTACAGGTGACTGGGCATGGCATTAGGGAATTATGAATCCTGCTTATGTTGTAAGATGCCAAGATGTGGTATGGTTGGGCTTCATTGGTGGTTATTTGGTATATTTTAATATGATGTGTATGCTGTGATTAGGTCAAAAACAGAACAGTTGACTTCTTTCCTGTAATCTATTTGCTCTTCTTATAACATCTTACTGGTAGATTTAAGCCCTTTTTTTTTTTTTGGTCATGAATTTTGTCTTCATATGGTGGAGGTTTTGAAATTTTTTGCTTGAGACTAATCTATAAAGAGCATAGTCTGGAAATAACTAGAGAATTATTTAACTTGATGGGAAATATGCTGGCTCGTTAACTTGATGTTATTCAAATGACTGATATGATTTCTGGTTCTTTTCTGTTTTGCAAAACCATAAGCACTGTGTTTTATTGGTTATAATATTGTAACACACAGGGGGAAGAGTTCAGGTTGCCACTATTGAACAAGCTAGCACCGAAGATGGTCAAAAAGTAGAAGCTCCAGTAGCAATAGTAACTGGAGCCTCTAGAGGAATTGGTAGAGCAATTGCATTGGCCTTGGGGAAAGCAGGCTGCAAGGTTAGTGGGTTCCCCTTCTTAGCTTCTTAGTTACTTTTTGCTAGGGAAGCTTTTGCTCTCCCATTAACTCTACTGTGAATTTTTTTGGGGTTGCATCCTTGGATACTTTGTGGTATAATCTTTAAATTACATCAGTGAGTGAGTTAAAAAAGCATTTAGGCACTTTTAGACTCTCAGTTTCCATCTTATTCTTTATGTAGACCAAGGGACAATATCAATCACGTACATCCCCAAAAGCAAGCAAGTCATAATTACCATGATATACATTTAACTATGTTTTCTATTCTTGTTTAAGTGTCATACATCTAGCCAAAGTGTTGTTTGCTTTCCTGAGGCCTGTCATTCCTGATTGCAGACAGCAATTCACCCTGTGTTCTTGTGATAATTACGGATTCTTATATTATTGCAGGTCCTTGTAAATTATGCTAGGTCATCAAAGGAGGCAGAGGAAGTTTCTAAAGAGGTTAAGTTTTTCTTTTTATAAAGAAATTTAGATGAATATTGGTGCACAACTTGGTTTAATTCTTTTGCAGTTTTCCCTTGTGTCTTTTCTACTATAGATTATTTAATTACAAAAATATTAGTCTAGAATCTTTATTTGATAAAAAAAAAAAAAGGTCTAGAATCTAGATTATTTGAAAAAAAATACAAGTGTCATCATTGTGTCCTTGGATTTCTTAAGCACTGTAGAAAGAACTGCATCAAATCAATGGTGCATAATTGAAATGACTTGCTGAAATTGTGTGACCATATATTGTAGATTGAGGCATGTGGTGGCCAGGCTCTTACTTTTGGTGGAGATGTCTCAAAAGAAGCTGATGTTGAATCAATGATCAAAACTGTAAGCATATCCTCTCTTCCCCCATGCTCTTCTCTATATTCTCATTTACTGTTCACGGTATGCTTAAAAGTTTGCACTTCTACAGGCTGTTGATGCATGGGGAAGTGTTGACATTTTGATCAATAATGCAGGTCATTTGAACTACATGTTTTGCCTTACTAGTTGATTGATTTGAATCTAGCTTGTTAACTTATTAGTCATGGTTCCAGGAATTACCCGGGATACTTTGTTGATGAGAATGAAGAAATCTCAATGGCAGGAGGTTATTGATCTGAACCTTACAGGAGTCTTCCTTTGTACACAGGTTTGTTTATGCTTGACATCTGACTAGGTCTTGACTGTATTGGTGGATGCTTGAGGTATGCATTGGAACTGATGTTGTTTTACTGTTTGCAGGCTGCAGCCAAAATCATGATGAAGAAGAAAAAGGTAAGATGACATACTGTCTTCAGGTTACAGATTTTAGACTTTGTTTTGAACCTGCCCTGTGAAATAGGCTAGGGCTGAACTTTTTGCCTCAAAATCAACCAATTGAGCTACAGCCTATGGACCTGAACCTTGGTCTTTTTGACATGTCATACTGTAATTCCCCTGTTCATACTTCTTTGCTATTGACACCTCTGTTTTGTGTGAAACATTCTGACTATATACGAAAAAGGGAAATGTGAAATTCCTTTTGGTATACTTTGGAAATCTGAATGTTGCTTTACAATATCATATTATGTCTCTGTCAATTTATGATTTCAGGGAAGAATAATCAATATAGCATCAGTTGTTGGTCTGGTTGGCAACGTCGGGCAAGCCAACTACAGTGCTGCAAAGGCAGGAGTTATTGGCCTGACAAAGAGTGTTGCAAAGGAATATGCAAGCAGAAACATTAATGTAAGTTTTAGAGTGATTATATTCTCTTTCCAGCTATCAGAAACTTTTAGCTTCTCTCTTGCTTAATATACTCAGTTCCTTTTTGCTAAATTTTTTACTTTCATTTACACCTTAACTTTTGATCTCCCTCTTTCCCCATTCCCACAGAACAATCTATTTGGATAAGAGAAATATAAACTAAAATATGAAATTTCAGTTAAGTTGAAGAAAGATAGTCAGTTTACTTATAAATAATAAATTATAGACATATTTTAAAACTGAGAAAAGGAGGGAGTCAAGGCTCCAAGAACAAGATGAAGTAAGATGCTGCTAAAATCAGTTGTGTGAAAATTCACTCTGATATAGTTTTATGTTCTTTCAGGTAAATGCTGTTGCTCCAGGTTTCATTGCATCCGATATGACTGCCAAACTTGGGGAAGACATTGAGAAGAAAATCTTGGGGTCAATCCCCTTAGGTCAGTGATGATTACATGATATCAAATTTCCTTGCTATATATATTGCAAATTCCTCACTAATAATTTTTTTGGACCACTCAAATTCCTCACTAGTATATATTTCTTTTACCAGCCAATTCCTCTTAGTTTATCTCTTGTTATGGTTTTGTTCCTCTCAACTTATTTAAGGAACCAAGTCTTTGCAGGCTTTTACAAGCTTTCAAGTAAAATATACCTGACAGATTTTATGTTTCACCAGAAACACATGCTGCTAGCCTTCCAAAGCCATTGCCTTAAAGTTCACTATAAACTTGAGCGCTTAATGCCATCTTGTGGATTCAGACAGGCTATTTGTTAAGTTATAAAATTGTGGGAATAATCATCATATTCATCATGCATACAGGGAGATATGGCCAACCAGAAGAAGTTGCTGGATTGGTGGAATTTTTGGCCCTCAATCCTGCTGCCAGTTACATCACTGGACAGGTTCTGTATCTAATTTATATGATGTCCTTTTAGAACTTAACTTATATATGCTGAATCTAATGAATTTCTTCCATGTCACCAGCATCCATTAATCCAATTGGTTGCTTTAATTTGTTGGCTGGAATTAAACAGCTTGGATAGGCTGATAGGATTATTTTCAGGCATCTCATTGCTTACAAGCCTCACTTAGGCATTTTCTTTGCCTACTTTAATATGATCTTTATCCCTTGCATGCCTTGCTGCTTTTTGCATGAGTTAGTTTGGCTTGCTTTATATATCTCTTCCTTTTACATGTCTTGCTTGTCTGTTGTTAATATTGGCTTGGCCCTCTTCTTGTATTCCGGACCTGGCTTGATGCTTGTCCCTGGACTATCTGCTTCTTGAATCTTGATTATGCTTAAACGAACTTCTTGTTGCTTAAGTGCACATTTCTTGGCTTGGCTTTTTGGATCCTTGAACTTCATGAGCATATAAGAGACCATGATCCTTGTCTTAAAGACTAGCTTCAAGCATTGCAGAAATTTCTATTGCTGCAATTAGTTTGTTGCCTTGCCATTACCATTCCTTTCTTTGTCTGTGCTGATCATTCTCATGCCATCTCATCTAATAAGGATTTCTTTGACCTTTCATTGTACTATCCTGGACTGGATGGTGTCTTTTATCCTTGACTGGAATGAGGTTGTCTTGTAGGTGTTCACCATTGATGGTGGAATGGTCATGTAGGTCAGTTACCCTCACCGGTTAAAGCTTCAGAATTCAGAATGTTCTTTGCAACTACTTCTTAACTGCAACATGATTAAATTGTTTAGTGGATGCTGTTGCTATAGAGTTTTATCTTCACATGTCAGAAGATAAAACACTCCCAAGTTTTGCCGCGTTTTTCTTAGCATGTAATAACAAGCAAAGAGGTATACAACAGTTTTTTAGTCTTTCATTTGGCACCATGGAAAATGCAGTTTTTCAGATGTTGCACATGTTGTCGTATCGGAGCTTCAAAACTATTTTAATTTGTTATAAATTCTCTTTTTATTGTTACTTAGATAATTTTTGGTTCATACTTGATTACTCTTTATTTATTTTATTTTGAGTTGCACAATGGTACTTGATTACTCCTTTGGATATTAATTAATGTTATACAAATTCTGAAATAATATTTAGTGGATAGCA